TGCTCTTCCCTTTCAACAAAGACTGTCCACTATCAACCCATGTTATGGGGTGGATAACCGAATTAGGTCATTCAATGTTTACTTCTATAAAATATCCATTATTTAAATATGGCAAAATGTTTTTCTACTATTGGTGAACATTTGGGTTGTTTCTGGGTTTTGCTATTATGACCAAATACGCGGTGAAAATCCTTCTACATGGCTGTCAGTGCTTATGTGCAAGCATTTCTCAGTGCATCCCTAGGGTACAGTTTGGCTTTACAGGATAGCACCTATCTAGTTTCCAAAGTGGTTGGATCCATTTACAGCACCACCAGTAAATACTGCAACTCCATGTCCTTGCCCAAACTTGGTGAGGCCATTTTTATCACATGGTGTCACTGTGCTCTGCGTGCCTTGTTATGGAGACTGGACAGCTGTGTTTCGCTATCATTCTTTTTCAATTTTCTGTTTAATACTTCTTCATGCTTTCTGCCTATTTGGGGGTTGTCTTTTGCTTACTGGTTTATTTTTTTAAAATAATTTTTTCTTAAGATTTTATGTATTTATTCATGAGAGACACAGAGAGAGGGAGAGACACAGAGACATAGACAGAGGGAAAAGCAGGCTCCATAAGGAGCCCGATGTGGGACTCGATCTCAGGACTCCAGCATCTGTCAAAGGCAGATGCAACTGCTGAGCCACCCAGGCATCCCTGCTTATTGGTTTAAAGTTTTTATATAAAGTCAAACCATATTAAATTGCCACTATTCAACCTTTATTTATTTTTATTCAACCTTTAGATATGGCAATTGATATGACTCAAAGTAAAATATTTATTTATTTATTTATTTATTTATTTATTTATTTATTTATTTATTTATTTAATGAATGGGGAGGGAGGGGCAGAGGCAGAGGCAGAGGGTGAGAGACTCTTAGTCAGATTCCATGCTTAGTGCAGTGCCTGACATGTGAATCAATCATCAATCTCTCAACTCTGAGATCAGGACCTGAGCCAAGTTGAGTCTGATGCTTAACCAACTGAGCCAGCCAGGCACCCCCAACCTAAAATATTTTAGATGACAATTATTTGCCAAGTGTATGTGTTCAAAATATTTTTTTCAAGTCATGAGAAAATTCTATTTTCCGTTTTCTTACGGTGAATTTGATAAAAGAAACTCACTTGAATCTAGTTGAATTTATAAAAAATTTTTCTTTAATATTAACCTTTTTTAAAAATAAGATTCTACTTATTTATTCATGGCAGACAGAGAGAGAGAGAGGCAGAGACACAGGCAGAGGGAGAAGCAGGCTCCATACTAGGAGCCTGATGTGGGACTCTATCCTGGGACTCCAGGATCACGCCCTGAGTGGAAGGCAGACACTCAGCTGCTGAGCCACCCAGGTGTCCCTTTTTTGTTTTAGAAATTCTTTCTTGACCTGGGGGCACAATTATCATCTAAAATTTAAAAGGATAAAAGTTTGCCTTTCCTAAGTCTTGGCTAAGAATTTTATTGCAATATAAATTTTAGAATCAGTATGTCATTTTCCACAAAAATGCACTCTTGGCATTTTTATTGATTAATTTTAGGAAGAACTGATGTCTTTCTAACACTTAGTCTTCCAGTGAATGAATAAATATAGTCTTGGTGAAGAACAGTCAAGTCAATCTTGAAGAAGAAAAAGAAATAAGACTTACTCTACTAGATGAAAAGATATTTTAAACCTATGGTAATTAACCCATTTGGTGTTTGTATAAGGACAGACTGTAGACCAGTGGGACAGAAGGAAAGGCCAAGACTTCTAGACACCACCTCACAAACCCATTTTCCAAGTGACCACTATCTTCCTGGAAACTGCTCTGATCCTGCCAGCTGACTTAGTCCTGCAGTAAGAAACCCCAGGATTACGGACTTGAACTCCAGGAATCTTCTGATGTTTCCCGAACATTTTAAAATAAACTGAGAAAGCACTAAAGAAATTTCAGGTATTTTGCCTTGGGAAAAAAGAAGTGTTTGTCTTGAAAGTTTTGAAAGACTGCCTTTTGAACAGTGGGTTAATCTCGCTCTGTGATGATCACAGAACATTGCACCTACATGTAGAAGCTACAGAAAGACATTTCTCTTCACATGGGGTTCAAAATCTGAACCTGTGTCTTGTTCCCCTTTTTAAACCTGAGTGAAGGGATCCCTGAGTGGCGCAGTGGTTTGGCGCCTGCCTTTGGCTCAGGGCGCGATCCTGGAGACCCGGGATCGAATCCCATGTCGGGCTCCCGGTGCATGGAGCCTGCTTCTCCCTCTCCCTCTGCCTGTGTCTCTGCCTCTCTCTCTCTGTGTGTGTGACTGTCATAAATAAATAAATTAAAAAAAAAAAAAAACCTGAGTGAAGTGGGCATTCTCTACTTCCTTTGTGATGGTAAAGTGAAAATAATCTCATTGATCAATGTTCAGGTTGAAACTTTTCTCAGATTTTGCACTAAGGTAATTAGGTTAAAAAAGTGTGTTGCCTGGTGAGTTTCTATGTAAATTAATAAATAAATCAACTCTAGTTTTGATAACTCTTCAGAATTAGTTACGGGAATCTTAGGGTTTTTAGAAATACTAATATGTTTTGTTATTCAACTATGCATCTCATCTTTGAATTCCTTCTACAGTATTCCTGTCAAATTTACTACCTTACAGCAGAATCTACTCTGGTTTAGGACCTCTTAAATGCACAGACTTTTCTCATAGGTAAAATACCTGAAGTTCCTTCAATGTTTCCTCACAACATTCATTTTATTATTTTTTATTTAAAGTTCAGTTAATTAACATATAGTATAATACTGGTTTCAGGGGTAGAATTTAGTGATTCATCACTTAACATACAATACCCAGTGCTCATCACAACTGGTGCCTCCTTAATGTCCATCCGCCCACAGCCCATCCTTCACCCACCTCCCTTCATCAACTGTCAGTTTGTTCTCTGTCACACAACACTCAGATGTTCAGGAAATGTCGGAGGATTTCTAGAGTTCAAGCCCGTAATGTGGTTTCTTACTGCAGGACTGAGAGTCAGTTGGCAGTCTTTAGAGCAGTGTCAGAATGGGAGCAGTTCTAGGGAGATGGTGGTCACATAGAAGATGTACAGGTGACGATGAGTCTAGAAAGCTCATGTCTGAGTTCAATACAGAGGACTTTCAAGTTTCACACTGGAATGTTGGGCCTGCTACCCCCTCCATGTGAGGTATCTGAGGATGTAAGCTCTCCAATCAACAACACAAAACATCTACACTCAAGGATGGTCCAGAATCTAAACTGGAAGTGCCACCTTGCCAGACTCTGTGATATGAGGGGCTGGACTGTTAGGCTCTCAAACTGGGCAGAGGACATTGAGTTCAGAGTGCCAAAGCCCACCATAGCCTTTAGGTGAAACAGATGTTCTGAACATGTATGTACATTTTCTAAATGCTTATATGTGCTGTCATGAAATACAAACCCTCAGATTTTCTAGGAGAGCACGACAATATTCTGTCAAGCATAAAGTGCAACTACTGCTGTGTGCGTGGGTAGGCCAGAGGATGTCGCTGAAATGGTGACCACAAGGGGTCCTCAGCTTTGAAAATAATTGGAAAACCACTGCCAATTCTCCAGACATACCCTGAACTCTGTCCTTATGTCATGTTTCTCACTGGAAAGCCACATACTCAGAATTTCATCCCCCACAGAGGCGATTTCATTGAGTTACATCTTAAATGTTTTCATCTTGGCATTCACCAACAAACTCTGTAATAAATGGCCATATAAAAAACATGAAATTTCCTGTAGAAACTAAAGGAACAACGGTTTAATCTGCTCTTTTTTAAAAAATGAGAAACCATGTAATCTCTTCTGGAATTTGTTACTAGAAAATCCATCTCTTGGACTCCTTGTTTTTCAGTATTAATGTGTAACCATTTCCCAAAAGGTTTTCTGTGAAACAAGAGCCCATGAAGATGCTTCAAACAGGACTGCGTGTGGTCGGTTACTCTAGGAAAGCAATGCTTTTTATTCCTGTTTTAAGATTGAGCTTACCATATTATAGACTCTGAGAAGTCTTTAAGGGAATTAAAAAATCCCCTAGGTAGCATTTCCTAAAGTCATTATTTTAAAAGCTTTAACTGGTGAAACACCTTTGAGAAATGTGGGATGACCCACTGCTCTTTTTTTTTTTAAAAAAAAAAAAACAGCTGAGGAGGGATCCCTGGGTGGCGCAGCGGTTTGGCGCCTGCCTTTGGCCCAGGGCGCGATCTGGAGACCCGGGATCGAATCCCACGTCGGGCTCCCGGTATATGGAGCCTGCTTCTCCCTCTGCCTGTGTCTCTGCCTCTCTCTCTCTCTCTGTGTGACTATCATAAAATAAATAAAAATTTAAAAAAAAATGACTAAACCAGCTGAGGAATTTAGAATATAATTCTCAATTATGGTCATTATGTTAATCAGGTTGGCATATTTGCATCTTATATATATATTTTAACCAAGGGAGAGAATTTCCAGCAGACTCTGGGCTGAGTGGGGAGCTCAGTTTATGACCCCAAGACCATGATCTGAGCTGAAATCAGGAGTCCCATGCTTAACCAACTGAGCCACCGTAGGACTTTCCATTTAACAGCCTTATTGGCTGTGGGTATTTATTTTAATCGTCTGTGAAAAGGACTTGTAATATTTGAAAGAGGAAGGGTGTGTGTTAAGAGATATTGAAAGACTTATAAAGAGATGCAAATTTCTAGTACACTTGAAAGAGCATTTCATATGTCTTGCAAATAAATACAGAAAATATTTATGAAATCAACACATTGACATTTTGATCTATTTATAACAAAGTGAGATGGGCTTCATGCTCTTTCCCTATGTAAGCTGTTATAGAGCAGCCTTAGCTGGATCCCACTTATCTGTCATTTCTAAATCTGCCCTGTCTTGCATTCCCTTCCCATCCTAATCTCAGCAATCTTGATTCCACATAGAAGAGGACCATTCAGACTTTAAGTTAAAAAGAGACAGAAAAACCTTGCTACAAATCATTAATATTTTATCAACTAAAACATGCTCCACGAAATGAGTTGTAGGCTAAGAGGTGTGGTGCAAAAGGGAGTGTGCAGCAGGCATCTGTGCAGAACTTACTAGTCAAGTGACCCTGCGTGAGTCTCATTTTTCCTGCCTTAATTTCCTCATCCTCTAGGGATGTTATGGATTGAATGAGTTAAAATGGCAAAGCCCTTAGAAAGGAGGTTGGCACGTGGAAAACACTATTTAGCATTACTGTTCCTGATTGGCAAGGCCTGGGCAGTAGATGCACTCCTCCTCCTCCAATGCTGATCAGGAAGGTCAGGCTCTAGGACCTCAGTCAGGGGTCAGGCATCAGGAAGAAGCAGGCAGGCTGGCTTCCCCAAGTGTCCGGTCAAACAGTAGCTATGAGGAGAGGCCTGTCCCACTGCCCTCCAGTCGGTGGGCTCTCTGTGCCCGGTGCCGCCTTCTCTTGTGTCCGGTGAGATTGGCACTCACCCTGAAGGCCTTCCCGCACTGCTCGCACTTGTAGGGCTTCTCGCCGGTGTGGACGCGCTGGTGCCCCAGCAGGGCCGCACGCTGGCGGAAGGACCGGCCGCACTCCCGGCAGCCGTAGGGCTTCTCGCCGGTGTGGATGCGCGCGTGCTGCCTCAGGCCAGAGCGCTGCGGGAAGGCCCTGGCGCACACCTGGCAGGTGTACGGCCGCTCGCCAGTGTGGGTCCGCTGGTGGTTGGCCAGGTTGGACCTGCCACTGAAGGCTTTGCCGCACTCGGCGCAGGCATACGGCCTCTCGCCGGTGTGCACCCTCTGGTGGACGGCCAGGCAGTGGCGGTCCCGGAAGGCCTTCCCACAGCGCGCACACGGGTAGGGCTGCTCCCCGGCGTGCGCCCTCTCGTGCGCCCGGCGCCGGCAGTCGTGGCGGAAGGACCTGCCGCACTCCCGGCACGCGTACGGCCTGTCCGAGGCGTGGCCCAGCCGGTGCCTGGCGAGTTCTGCTGGGCTGCCGAAGGCCTGTCCGCAGCGTGGGCACCGCCGGGCCTCCCCCTGCGCGTGTGTCCTGGCGTGCTTGCTGCGGTCGGAGCTGCGGCGGAAGGTCTGCCCGCACTGGCTGCACTCATAGGGCCGTTCTCCGGTGTGCACCCTGCGGTGCTTGCTGAGGTCCGAGCTTCCGCGGAAGGCGCGCCCGCACTGCTCACAGCCGTACGGCCGCTCCCCGCTGTGCATCCTGGCATGCAGGGTGAGGCTGTGCTTGAGCTGGAAGGCCTTCCCGCATATTGCGCACGCGTGTGGCCTCTCCCCGTTGTGCACCAGCTGGTGCAGACTTAGCCGGCTCCTGGTCTCAAAGGCCTTCCCACAGGCGCCACAGCCGTGGGGCTTCTCCCCGCTGTGCACTCTTCTGTGCCGGCACAGTGCCGACCTGCTGTTAAAGGCCTTGTCACACTGGCCACAGTCGAAGGGTCTCTCCCCTGTGTGGATGATCCGGTGCACGGAGAGCTGCTTTCTGGTCCTGAACGCTTTCCTGCACTGGTTACACACGTAGGGCTTCTCTCCAGAATGCAGGCGCAGGTGCAGAATCAAGTCGGAGCGCCAGCTGAAGGTCCTGCCACACTCGGCACATTCGTGGGGTGTCCGCTCTGTAAGGACGCCCTCAAGTGGGACATGCTTGGAGGGTAGACTGGAGTTTTTTCTGAGGACCTTCTGGGTCTTTCCGCCCTCGCAGGCCACCTTGTCTTCCCCCAGTGTTTCCTTCCCCGGCGTGTCTCGCGGGTTCTTTAACTTGGCCTCCTGCACACAAGCCGCTCCAGCCTCAGGATCCCGGGACAGGACTTCCAGGAGAGGTCTGACTTGAACGACCCTGCAGACGTTCCCACTCTCCAAAACCTCCTGTTCCGAACTAGCCTTCTCATTCCCAGGCCGGGACTTGTCAGGTGATACTTCAACAAGGAAATAAAAACCTCAGATGTACAGAGGTGGGGAGCCACGGGAGACGGGACAGGTGAGAGGGTGGAGCCGTTTGAATAGAAGATGACTTCCTGGGGTGGAAGAGCTGGTACCCTTATGGCCAAAGGCTGAGGCAGGCTGGTATCATGAGAAATACTGAGACATTTCAGACTCCGTGCACTTTACAAAAATCTGTACAAACCTACTGGTTTCTGGAATCTCCTGGTGTAGTGAATGGCAAATCCATGCACCTAGTCACCTCAGTGAGGAAACTGAGTCACATCCAACCCTTCTCTCCCTCAGATTTGCTCAGCTAACATTTTACAAATTCCACTTGTGATGTGCTGCAGAGGCTGTGGCCCCCAGGGGCCTGTCTGCTTTGCTCTGCAGTGTAACCTGCCCGCCTGGGTAGAGCACATCAGGTCTGGGCCACCCCTCACCCGAACCAAGCTAGACTCTCTTCCTGGGCTCTGACTTAGACTCTGATAGCAGCTGGGTATTTAGGACTTCAGTTGGGGAGCCTGCACACCGCCCAGGGCAGGGAACATTCTGCCATCTGGACCGAGAAGCAGGGGACCTACAGAGAGCCAGAGGAGACAGTGGGGTGAAGGGCCTGCTGTGGTCCTGCTCCCAGGGTCCATGACACCCCTGAGTAATAAATCTATTCTTGCTGTTTTGCTTAAGTTAGCTTGAGTTAATTTCTACTGCTGGCAACCAGAGTTCAAATGACTCTTCTTCTTTTCTCAACTCTACCTCCTCCTCTGTATTTCTGCTGCGGCATTCTTGCTCACTAACGGACACCCCACCCCCACCAGTCCTTTTATCTGCTTCCCCTCTAATCTGTGCTCCACTTTGCTTCCAGATTTCTCTGTAAGTCAAATCTAATCCTGCCACTCCTCAGCTTACAATATCAGGGGCACTCCAGACAGAAAGGAGGTAAAGCATACAGGCAAGAGCCCCAGCTCTGGAGTGGGACCACCTGGACTGAAATCCTAGCTCTGACACCTATGCGCTGTGTAGCTCAGGAGGATGACTGCATCTCCCTCTGCCTCAGGGGGCTTGTCTATAAGATGGGATCATTTAATAAGCTAATGTGCTTAAAGCACTTGCCACACAGACGTGAGTGCTTAATCAATGCCAGCTTCTACTGTCAGAATAAAGTTCAAGGTCTGTAGTTTATAAAAACCCCTCTGAATAGTCACCTTGCCCCCGCTCCTGCACTCCCCATACCAGCTGCCTGGAGCCCTTGCTCTATTCACGCTGCTCAGAGTTCATGTTTTTTTTTTCCTCCTCAACATGTTGCCATGTGCACCTCCCTCTGCTCAGAATGCCTCTCCCCTCTTTCCACTACATGAACCCATGTATGCCACATGCCTTGGTTCATGCTCATTCCTTCCATTGTCATTTGGTGCCCAGGTCAGATTTAGATGCTTCTCTTCCACGTTTGTATATCCCGTATATCCCAGGTACACACCTGTAACTCTCACCTGTTCTGTGCTGTATCATCAGAACTTACCTGTCTTCCCTACTAGGCAGTGATATTTGACACCATCTCTAGTACTTGTCTAGTGCCTGGTATGCAATAATTGCCAATAAATGTTGGTTGGCTGGCAGGAGGGAGGAGAACCGAAGAACAGGTATTGTGATCAGGCAGTTGGGTTGGCCTAGGGATAAGGGGCACTTTTTTGAAGGGTCAGTAGAGAAAACAGTTTGAATGAGGAGCTGGTAATGTTTCACGACTGACCAGGTAAGAGGGTCAGGGAGTGTGGAGAGGCAACATGAGAAAGAGGTAGACCAGATACAGAAACAGGGAGAGCTCAGCGGCGATGGGCTGCGAGGAGGGATGACTCTGCCTTCAGATATGTTGCTCTCCAGATGGCAAAGGGTTGTCCAGTCAACACCGGGAGTTAGAAGGCGTGCTGCCCAGAAAAGGGGAGAAGTGAGCACTGTCCATGTAGCTGGCACCTGCCTCAGAGCTAAGAGCTGAGGCCATGAGGGAAACAGAAAAATATAAGGGTCAGAGGCCCGAGGCCCAATGTAGGGGAAGGTCCTGAACGCAAATTAGAGGCAGAAAATCAGCGTTCTCTGAGCATTGGAGTCACTGATACACAGAAGGGAGATGAATTCTCTGAGCCTTTTCTGAGGACCAAACTGCAAAAAGCCTATTAGAGGGGGTACAAAGGAGCAATTAGGTTATGATAGAAGAACTGCCCAAGTAGTTAGTTGCTGTTTATTTTCTCCTCTTTAGGGCTCCCGGGCTGGTGAGGACAGATAACCCAGCAGTAAGAACATTTCTCTGACAACCTGCCCTGGGGCCTAGTGGGGTGGTGGTGGTGCTGGAGCTTCTCCATCACTCACCTGGGAAGCAGCTCAGGATCCCCTGGTCCGGAAGGCAGGGCTCAGCCCCTTGCTCCAGCTGGGAAATCAGAGGAGGTTTAGGGAAAGCAGAACCTGGTGGCGAAGGAGTAGGAGTGCTCAGAGCATGTAACTGTCCTAAACGCCCAGCCTTGACCCCTCCGCTTACACAGAGAAACAGGAAAGAAATGGCCATCAGGGTAGAGAAAAGGGTTTGTTCAGGGGTCTGGTCATGGGTAACCATGTAGTGACATTCTCCAAGGAGTCCCCCTCAGACAGGCAGAGGAGATCCTAAGAACATTTCCCTGTTCTTGCGGTTATTTTGCTGTAGAACAGAGACCTCATGCACATGGATGAACAAAACAAGTGAAAGAAAGCGGAGAGGGGAGAAGGCGAGGCTGAGCCCAGGGCTGTTCTTACCCACCGCCAACATGTTCCCATAGTTTTCCAGCATCACGTCTGTGTAGAGGAGCCTCTGCGTGTGGTTCAGACACCGCCACTCTGGGCTGCTGAAGTGCACAGCCACGTCCTCAAAGGTCAGGGAGGTCAGCGGGTCCCGGGGCAGTGCAGCCGTGCAGTCCTGGGGGACACAGTAGAGACACGGAAGGCGATGACTGTGTGTGTACTGAGGCAAGGTTGAGAGGAGGTGCGGGTTCCTGGGGTGGAACCACAGGGGGCATCATGGGAGCACCTGATTTGGGAGGTGAGCAGGTGGCTGTGGCGGGGCTGTGTCTGCAGGGAGGGCGTGGGAGCCACTGCTTCCCCAGGCCCGGCTCCTGGCTGTGGTCGCCCTGGGCTCCTCTCTCGGCCGGGTTCCGGCTCCCCAGCTTCCATCTCTGGCAGCAGCTGGATGCTGAGGGCTCAGCAGGGCTGAGGGAGACAGGTGGAAGGTGGGGTGGGCTGTCAGTGTGGCAGTGTTCATGCTTTCCTTTGCCTCCCCATTGCTTCTGCAGCTGGACACAGGCACTGGGTGCCTGCACCCACCACCAGGGCTTTCCCTGGTCTCCCCATCTCACATTGACCTCACCCTTCCTGGGCCCACATCACTGACTCTACCCTCTCTTCCAGTATTTGGACGCTGAAGTCATTTCTTCCAGAAAGACTTAGGGTAGGGATGGGCAGGGGGCACAGAAATATCCAGGGACAAGCCTAAAGTTTATTCCTTTAGGTAACTGCAGGGCTGCCCTACCTCCAGTTAGCTTCTTGGAAAAAATAATTTCTTCTTTGTTCCTCTTATTAGAGAAATACTGCCTTCCCCCTGTGATTCTCTCTCTCCTGTTAATTCTGAGCATGAAGCCACCCTCCCCACCCTACTGGAGGACAGCACACACAGCTTTTGCCATCGTCCAGGTAGTGTCCGCACCAACTGGATGGGATGTAGGTCCACATGGCTAGTCCACGACTCAAATTCACTTCTGCTGGGCCAGCTCTACCTTTCTGTAGCTTCAGTGTTTGCAGCAACTAACCGTTCTAGAAAGTTCATCAACACATCCCCAATCTGAGTCTGAATGATTTCTCTCACAAAATATGGTGTGTGTGTGTGTGGGGGGGGTGCATGGGGGGGGGAGCATTAGTCATCAATTGGTAAGACCCTGGGATTACCCCGAGGCTTTTGTTCCACAAAGTCATTCCAATTTTACCATAACTTCAATTTAGGAGCAAACTGGTTTCTTCCCATGATTCTTCTTCGGTTTAGGTTACTCTCAGTTCTTGACCAAGACCTGGGCTGTTAGTCCTCAGGCCCGTCTGTGGCTCCATGTCTCGCTCTATGAGCCCTGGCGCTCTGTAATTCTTTGTCACAAACAGTTCCACACCCAGGACACCTTGGTGGCTTAGCGGTTGGGCATCTGCCTTCAGCTCAAGGCATGATCCCGAAGTCCCGGGATTGAGTCTCACATCAGGCTCCCCGCAGGGAAGCCTCTCTCTTTCTCTCTCTCTCTGTGTCTCTCATGAATAAATAAATAAAATCTTAAAAAGCAAAACAGTCCCACACTCTCCTGGCCTGCACATAGCTCATAGCACATGCTAGCTCTGCTCTGCTCCTTGTGACATCAAAAATGTAAACCTCCCAACTGGAAGGTTTTTTTTTTTTTTTTTTTTTTTCTAATCCACATTTTATTATGAACATTTTCAAATATACAGAATAGCTGAAAGAATTGTTTAGTAAGCACCCACATACTTACCTTCATGTTTGTAATGTGCTCTCCCACTTACCTACCCAACTAACTGGCCCTCTATTAATCCACTGTACTTTTTGCTGCATTTAAAAGTAATCAAAGACATGAGCATACTTCACCCCACAACACTCTATGGCACATATCATGGACTAGAACTCAATATTTGTTTACATTCTCATTTTTGAGGTAAAATTTACACACAGTAAAATTAGGAAGTCATAAGTAGATGAGTTTTGACAATGCATACCTGTATTTAACCCTATTTCCCCTCCAGATACATCCCAGTTGGATTTTTACTATACCTTCTTCACAGACTGGGAAAGTTTTATCAACTCACAATAGTTCTTTTTTGAAAGTGTTCATTTTGTTAAAAAAAATTTTTTTTGAATTGTGGCAAAAAAATATGTAACAAGATTTACTGTCTTAACTTTCTTTCTTTCTTCTTTCTTTCTTTCTTTCTTTCTTCTCTTTCTTTTTTTTTTTTTTTTTTTTGTAAAAGAAGGAGGATGGGGAGAGGCAGAGGGAGACAGGATTCCACAATCCTGAGATCATGACTTGAGCCAAAATCAAGAGTTGGACACCTAACCTACTAAGCCACCCAGGCACTCCATCTTCTTAACCATTTCTAAGCATACAGTTCAACACTGTTAAAAATACAATGTTCAATGATGTGGATGGAGCTAGAGTATTATGCTGAGCAAAATAAGTCAGAGAAAGACAGTTATTATTGGTTCCATTCATATGTGCAATTTAAGAAACAAAGGTGAAATCAGAAAAGGAGATAAACCATAAGAGAATCTTAATTACAGGAAACATACTACGGGTTGCTAGAGAGGAGGGGGTGTGGGGACGGGTTAACTTGGGGATGGGCATGAAGGAAGGCACATGATGGGATGAGCACTGGGAGTTAGAGGCAACTGATGAATCACTGACTTCTGCACCTGAAACCAATACTGCATTGTATGTTAACTACCTAAAATTTAAATTAAAATTATAAGAAAAAAAAATCCAATGTTATGTAATCTCCAGGATTTTTTCACACTGCAAAACTGAAACTCTATACCCATTATACAACTTGCCATCTCTCCCTTTCTAATCCCTGGCACTACAATGATTCTCAAGCTTTATTTTTTTAGCTTCATATTTTGAAAAGTCTGTTTTTGCCTTCAATGAGCAGATTTCCATGCCCTGGAAGCATGTCCTCCCACTCCCCCATGTCCCAGCTCTGTGTTCAGCTGCCATCCTCCTGGCACAATAGCCTGTGAGCCTCACCTTTTTCCTGCAGGGGCTGGGCACCAGGGATCCACAGCAGCGCTGGTCCTGGATGCTCATGTGATGCTATCACCTATTGCAATGCACAGGAAAACTCAGGCGATGGAATGGAGGAAAATGAGCTCTAATCAACTGTAAAGTTTGGTCTATGGAAATCATCTCCCAGAAACACCAAGAGGAGAGAGAAAATCAGGGACTCAGTCCCTGATCCACCTTAGGCAAAACAGAAAAGTCTTCCCATTATTCTCTACAACTGGAAGGCTTTCATGGTTACCAGGCTGTCCAGAAAAAATATTTTGAAGCGGGAAACTTCTACCATTGCCCCCCCTGCTTTCCTTTTCTATACTCACTTCCTCCTCATGATATGTTGCAGACCCTCCTTTTCTTACCTGCTGCATCTTTTTACCCAGCTTTCTTTATGGTCTTCCACCGTGTCCAGATTCTTCCCAGCTGCTTGGGTCAAACTTCCAGAGTCAGTTCCGACTTTGCCCAGGCAACATGTTTTGAGGTGGCCTGGTGGATGCCAGCCAGAGGGCCCTTGCTGACCCACAGTGCAGCTGCTGTTGGCCTGGTGTGTGACACAATGCCCTGGATTTGAGGCTCATCAGCAGCATTGGGCCAGCTGTGGTCTCACACCTGTTTTTCCTGAATATTCCATGAAAAGGAAAAGAGGAAAGTGATCAGAGCAAAAAGAAGGGATCTTTTTAAAGGATTATCTATAGAAGAAGAGGGAGCACACAAAGACAAATGGAAAATGTCATGTATCTGGAGTACAACCTCCATAGCTACCACCCTGATCCAGGCCATCGTCACCCGCCTTGCTCTCCATGATTACTGACTGGTGTCCTTGCTTCTATCCTTCCCCTTTGCCTCTTCTCAATACAACAGAGTGGTGTGCTTAACATATAAGCCAGATGATTTCATGTCTACCTAAAACCTCCCAATCTCCGGTCTACACCGTGGCATGCAAAGCTGTTATACATGCACACGTTGCTTCTAACCACCTTCCTCATTTATTCAGAAGAAGAGCTTAAGTCTTCAGTGGCATACAAGTCTGGAGGATGTGTGGACTCATGCCCTTCTACTCTCCTCCTTCAACGGTCCTCAGGTACACAGACTTTCTCGTTCACCTCAGGGCCTTTGCACTGGTTGGCTGTCCCTTCCACCTCAAGCGGTCCTCCAGGCAAAGGATCTTGCTCCCCAGGGTTTGCCTGTGCGCCATCTTCCCAAGATCCACTCCAGGTGCCCTACCTAAGACTGCCGTCTGCTCTCTCCTGCCACCCAGACGCCTTACCTGGCTTTCCCTTTCCTCTGGCTTTCGGCAGCACTTGACCACTTTCCAACATGGTAAGTGACTCGGCACTACGGTCGGTCTCTTCAGGCTCCCTGCCGTGTGCCTGGCTGTACTTCCAACACCTGCATCAGCGACCGTACCCGTGGCTCGATGAGAGAATCCAGGCAGCGACGCTGGGGAGCATGTAAGTGGGGGTACAAAAAGGGTCACGGGCTGCTGCGCGCGAGAAGAGGGGAGGGAACCCGAACACCTGCGAGAACGTTCCGTCTGAGGGGAGAGCCCGCCCTCCCGCTGGCGCCGCGGGGGCACTCCGGGAGCAGCCACGAGCTCCCGGCGGGTTGCCCAACCCACACCGCGGGAGGCGGCCTTCCAGCCGCTGTCTCCCGGAACCGCCAGGAAACTGCACGGCTTCACTTCCTAGGCCCCCACCAGCCACTTCCGGCGACCTTCTAGGAAACGCCGCTGCCGCTCGCTGGTCCCAACTTCCCTGGAGATTCGGCCGAGCCTCCTACCACGTGCACGTACCCCGCTTTCGCGAGAGCTCCTGCGGGCACGAGGGGTGCGGGGGTCGCAACGTGGGCTTGTGGGCACGTGAGCCCAGAGCCGCTGTGGTCCGGGCTCGGGTCCTCCCTGGAGTGCACGGGAATTTTGTGAGATAAATCTGTGAAAAGGTCACTTTTAAATATTAGCCTAAAACACAAGATAAATAACGGACCGCACTTTTTCAAAAATCGAAAAATTCGTCATGAAAAATTTAAGCCTATACAAAAGTTGGGAGAAGACTAATGAGCCCAGGTGTACTCATCCCTCAAACTTAGTAATAAGATTCTGCCGCACCCACCCCCACCGTTTTCCTTGCTGAAATATTTGAAAGAGCAAAACCCAAACATTATTTCAATATTATACTTCTCAGAATGTATTTCTTTTAAAATTTCACTTAGTCAACATACATGATTAGTTTTCGAAATAGTCTTAATAATTTGTCGGTTGCTATAACACCCAGTGCTCATCCCATCATGTGCCCCCTTTAATGCCCATTACCCAATTACCCCATCCCCCCACCCTTCTCCCCTTCTGCAACTCTTTGTTTCCCAGAGTTAGGGAGTTTCTCATGGTTGGTCTTCCTCTCTGATTTTTTCCTATTTAGTTTCCCTCCTTTCCCTTGTGGTCCCTTTCACTATTTCTTAAATTCCACATATGAGTGAAACTATAGGATGATTTTCCCCCGGATTGGTTTATTTCACTCAGCATAACACCCTCCAGTTCCATCCATGTGTCAAAGTATATGGTAAGTATTCATCCTTACTGATGGCTGAGTAATATTCCATTGTATATATACACCACATCTTCTTTACCCATTTGTCTGTCCGTGGACATCATGGTTCCTTCCACAGTCTGGCTATTGTGGACATTGCTGCTATGAACATTGGGGTGCAGGTGTCCCATTGTCTCAATACATCAGTATCTTTGGAGTAAATACCCAGGAGTGCAATTGCTGGTCATAGGGTAGTTCTATTTTTAACTTCAGAATGCATATCTTAAGAATTAATGGACATTTAAAAAAAGATTTTATTTATTTATTCATGAGGGACACAGAGACAGAGGCAGAGAGAGAAGCAGGCTCCATGCAGGGAGCCCAACGTGGGACTTGATCCCAGGTCTCCAGGATTACGCCCTGGGCCGAAGGTGGTGCTAAACTGCTGAGCCACCAGGGCTGTCCAGTTATGGACATTTAAAACAGAACCACAGTGCCATTATCCCACCTAAAAAATTTAAACGATTCCTGGTTACCATCTAGTACTGAGTCCTTACTAAACTTGCCTAAATAAATAAAACGTGCTGCTTTTTTGAATCAAGATCCAAATCTACATACTTTTGGGTTATTTTAATTTTTTTAAAAAATTTAGATCTATAATAGTTCCTCTTCCGTGTCTCACTAACCCTCGTTCCCCCAATTAAATAAATTTGTCATTTGTCCCGAATTTTTGCATGCTGGTTTTATTTGTATTTTCATTTAATTCATTTCTCTAGCCTTGTATTTCCTGTTAACTAGATGCTAGCTCTAAGAATTTGATTTGAGTTTGATTTACCTTTATGGGTAAGAATTCTTAGGTAGTGCTCTTTTTGCTTTATATCAGGAGGCATATAATGTCTAACTATTCCACTCTCTATGATGCTAAGATTGATTTATGAGTGCAGCACTTGATAGGTGGATCTCTCCATGTAATGTTCCTCATCAGCCTCTCATTTGGTTCCTTCACCTACTGATCTTGACCTAAATCAACCATTTCATTAGGGTTTGCAAAATGGTGGTTTTTCTAATTTAACAATTTTTTCATGTTTATGAACAAGAATTTCTTTTAAAGAAGGGTTTTCTCTCAACAACATATAAATTTAGGGCTATTTGGTTATCCTGAAATGTAGTTCTTACAGGAAGGACAATGTTTACTTTTCAATTTAATTGCCAGTATTCAGAGCAATAGTTGTTTACCTTAGGTGCCATGACATGTTGGCCATTAATGAGCCCTGCCTTCTGGATTCATTCCTTGTGTAGCTCTCTTGCACATTGTACCAAAGCTGATGTGCGTGATCAGTCCAATATAGCAGAGATGATGTTATGTTATGTTATGTTATGTTATGTTATGTTATGTTATGTTTACTTCTAATGTTAAGTTATAAAGGTGACTGTGGCTTCCAAATTTTCCTCTCTCTCCCTGCCTCTCAGATCACTCACTCCGAGGGAGGCCAGCTGTCCTATGGTGAGGAGTAGCCCATGTGAGGAACTGAAGCCCCCTGCCAACAGCCAAGTGAGTGAGTTTAAAAGTGCATCCTCCAGCCCCCAGTCAAGCCTTCAGATGACTGCAGCACAGCTAACAGACCACAAACTAACAGCTAAACTGTTCTCAGATTCCTGATCTGCAGAAACTGTATGAGGTAATAAGCATCTCATGTTTGATCCTAAATTTGGGGAGTACTGTGTTATGCAGCAATTAATAATTTTTTTTGTGTTTTTTTTTAATCTTTTTGAATCTCATTACAGACTTGTGGAAATTTATATGTATGTATGTGTTTTTTAAAGATTTTATTTATTCATGAGAGACACACAGAGAGAGGCAGAGACATAGGCAGAGAGAGAAGCAGGCTCCCCATGGGGAGCCTGATGTGGGGGACTTGATTCCAGGACCCTGGGATCATGCCCTGAGCCAAAGGCAGACGCTCAACCACTGAGCTACCCAGATGCACTGAAGATAAACAGTTCTAAGGACAAAACAGTCATAAACTAAGAAAAGAACAATTTTAATATTGAGACTTGGGACTTGCTAATGGGAATTTTGTGATGCTAGGTCTCTTAACCCAGGTGCCACTATTTATTTTAAAAAATATTTATTTATTTGAGAGAGAGTGAGCATGTGCATGAGCAGGGACAAGGGGTAGAGTGAGAGGAAGAGAGAGAATCCTCAAGCTGACTCCCTGCTGAACACAGAGCCAAATGCAGGGCTCCATCTCAGGACCCTGAGATCATGAGCTGAGCTGAAATCGAGTCAGCCACTTAACCAACTGAGCCACCCAGATGCCCCTACATACTCATAGATTTTTAAAAAACATTCAAGGAGTAAAAAAAAAAAAAACATTCAAGGAGTAATTAACCAATTGTAGTTATTACTTTTGATGTCAAATGATTCTGTCTTTGGCAGGTGGGAGTGCCTTTATTTTGACTCCTCTGTCCTTTTCATCTAACTCTGAAAGTCTTGGATAGCTTTTTTTTTTTTTTTTTTTAGCTGTTTTACTTTCTAGCAGGACAAGATATTTCAGGCTTATTTTGTATATTTCCTGCTCCATTTCTCCAAGGCCTCAGGCATTTCTCCAAGAGTCTTGGTTCTTTTCAGTGGGGAGAATGACTGCATATCTTTGTGAATGATCACAATTATCTTCACCTAAAGCATATCAAAATTAAATCAAATTTACTTAATTATGGGGTTGAATTCAGGTTAACCCACTTGGTATCTGTGTGTGTGTGTGACCCTAACCAAGTTCTGTCTCCTGTCCCCAGTTTCCTTATCTGTCAAATGGATCCAGTATATGTACCTGACTTTTGGAGTTGTTCTAAGGATTAACTCAGATAATATACTGAAGTAATTTAATACACTGCCTGGCCTCAAATTTTATGATTAGAGCAATAGAATTGCAAATCTGGATGGTACCATAGTGATCATTAGGTACAATTCCTTCATTTCATGCTTGAGAAGACAAAGGCCCAAAAGAGAGAAAATTTGCCTAAAACTACAAAGGAGAACAAAGAAAAGAAGAGAAACCAATGACTCCAGAGTCTTGGATCTTAAATCTGGGTTATTTTTTTTTAATTTAAAGTATGTATCTTTTTTTAATAATAAATTTATTTTTTATTGGTGTTCAATTTGCCAACATACAGAATAACACCCAGTGCTCATCCCGTCAAGTGCCCCCCTCAATGCCCATCACCCATTCACCCCACCCCCTGCCCTCCTCCCCTTCCACCACCCCTAGTTCGTTTCCCAGAGTTAGGAGTCTTCATGTTCTGTCTCCCTTTCTGATATTTCCTACCCATTTCCTCTCCCTTCCCTTCTATTCCCTTTAACTATTATTTATATTCAAACCTGGGTTATTTTGAATGTAAACACAGTCATTACAGCCCAGTCAGGTTTTCTATTTATTGAAAGATAAATGAGTTTAGGCATCACAATCCTGGACTTCATCAAGATAAAAACCTTTTGCACAGCAAAAGAAACAATCAACAAAACTAAAAGGCAACATATTAATTGGGAGAAGATATTTGCAAGTGACATATTTGATAAAGGGTTAGTATCCAAAATCTATAAAGAAATTATCAAACTCAACAGCCCAAAGATAAATGATCCAGTTAAGAAATGGGCAGAAAACACGAACTTGTCCAAAGAAGACATCCACTACCCCTTGTTCATTTCCTAGAGTTAGGTATCTCTCATGTTTTGTCACCCTCACTGATATTTTCACTCATTTTGAACTCCAATAAAATATATATATATATATATTTCATATATATATATGAAAAATAAAGGAGGGCTTGGTCCTCAGACTAAAGGCAAAAAAACAAAACAAAACAAAACAAAACAAAACAAAAAAAGAACTTCCAGATAGCTAACCGACACATGAAAAGATGCTCAACATCACTCATCATCAGGGAAATACGAATCAAAACCACAATGATATAACACCTCACACCTGTCAGAATGGCTAAAATTAACAGGTCAACAGATGTTGGCAAGGATGGGGAGAAAGAGGAACCCTCTTGCACTGTTGGTGGGAATGCAAGCTGGTGCATCCACTCTGGAAGTAGTATGGAGTTTCCTCCAAAGTTAAAAATAGAGCTAC